TTAAGAAGTATTAAGAAGGGACTTTCCCAGTAGTCCAGTGGCTAAGACTCTGCGCTCCCAATGCTGGGGGCCCAGGTTTCATCTCTGGTCAGGAAGTTAGATCTGATATGCCACAACTAAAAGATGCTGCATGCTGCAGCTAAGACCTGTTAGAGCCAAATAAATAATTTTTTTTTTTTAAGTATTGAGAAGCTATCAAGCTCTTGGTGGCAAACACAAGTTTTCCTATATTCTTTTTTTTTTTTTCTCTTTAAAGTTCAAATTTTATCCTTGGCAACAAATACTGTCAGTTGTTCTTCTTGAAGTGACAGTTTACTTCATTCATTTTAAAGAAAATGTCTGCCAAATACCCATATTTGAATAACCACAGTTTTCGTCTGCTAGCCATTCTTTCAGATGGTGTTCCATGAAAAAAATGTCCAGTTGAGCTTACAACTCAAAACAACTGAACAAGTGCTTTTCCTCAAGACAACCATTATAATTCAGTATGCAGCAGCAGTACTTTATAGATTCTTCCTACCCCATATACTCAAGAGATCTATACTTACGGGTTGAAATTTAAAATTAGTTAAGTTTTATTGCACTTACATCAAGGGCATTTTAAGTAAGACTGGCTTGTTTGGGGGGGGGGTCACTGCAAATGCATAGGGTGAATAATTCAATGAATTTGATGTTACTTGCCTTGATTCACACTAAAGTGACAATAGTTTTACCACTTTTTCACAAACTTTTAAATGAATTAGTTTAGTTTTGCAAATAATGTCTTAGTATTACTATGAAAGTAGTTTTGACCTCATGGACTCCATTGAAGAGGTCATGGGGATCCCAGGGGTCTGCACGCCACACTTTGAGAACTGCTACTGCACAGACAATTACAATGACGTTCTGGTTTTTATCCCAGTCTATTCTTCCCTGGTGACTCAGCGGGTCAACAATCCATGGGCAAGGAGCCGCAGGAGATTTGGGTTTGATCTCTGGGTCGGGAAGATCCCCTGGAGAAGGGAATGGCAACCCACTCCAGTATTCTTGCCTGGAGAATTCAATGGACAGAGGACCCTGGGGGGCTACTGTCTATGGGGTCGCCGAGAGTCGGACATGACAGAGCAACTGACACTTTCACTTTTCATGCTTCTTTTGGTTCCAGGCCCACTGGACCTTGCAACAAGGATAGAAATGTCTTTGCACTTATTAAAGGCTGAGCCCTCTGCTTCAACTGTGAATCCTAAACGCTCCAATCTTCCTTAGAACTTTGCTCCTTCAGTTATTCTGTCCTAATCCAGCATCCTCAATCCCTTTCTCTCTTATCAACATACAAACAAGCTCTAGTATTTCTTCCCATTCTTACAAATCCCTCCTTTGATCCTATAGGCCCCTCCCACTACTGTCCCATTTCTCTGCTTCCTTTGGTAAACAAAGCCCTTCAAGAATTGTCTACACAGCTCAATAGAGCTGGAAAACAAATACAAAAGCAAAACAAAAGTGACTTTGAAGGGTGGAAACAAGGGGAATAAAAACAGGTATCTTCTTCCTTCAAACTCCTGAAAGATTCCCCACTGGTTAAAGTCAAATAGAAGAGAGACTCGATACATCTGTGCAAGTCAGCTATCCAAGCAGTGAGCAGAAGATAAAACAGTGAAGAGGAGGTATAGTGACAAGAGAAGGTTATCTTTTACAATTTTGTTAGGGGAACCACTTATCGAAACCTCCCACCATGACCAGGCACAACAGTAAGAGTTTTCTTACAATAGGAGGTCCTGGTGAACAAAACAGAACCAACAAGGTACCACCAGCTGGAAGGGTTTGGGAAAAGTCAGAAGGAGAGAGGGGATGCCAGTCCGTATGTCCCATCAACCTCTAAAAACCCTTCTCATGGAATTTATCCTGGCTGAGCGTTGAGTGTGCCAGTGGGAAGGACCCTGGGTCAGAATGACTGGCCAGGGACAACCCAGGAACCTGCGGTGATAGGATTATATCACTATAAAACCTGAGACTGTAAGCCACGGGGCAGAGCAATTCTCTTGGGTTCCTTTACCCTGCTATTCTCTGCCTGGGTGCCCTTTCCCAATAAGGTCTCTTGCTTTTTCAGCATGTGTGTCTCCTTGCACAATTCGTTTCTAAGTGTTAGACAGGAGCCCACTCTCTGGCCCTGGAAGGGGTCCCCCTTCCTGCAACTGTTTACCTTTTTTACTGCTTACATCCTATCTTTCCTTTCATCTAGGGGAAAAGTTTGTAATAACTAAATAAATAGATAAATAAAATTTAATAACCCTCTTTAAAATTTTGTGCAGTTGTGGGATCTCAGCTCTTCATCGAGAGGATGAACCGAGGCCCACCGCAGTGAAAGCACCATGGACTTATGAGTCTTAACCATGGGACTATGAGAGAATCTCCTAAAAAAAATTTTTTTAAATATAGAGTTGTCTACTTGCTATGGGCTTCCCTTGTAGCTCAGTCGGTAAAGAATCTGCCTGTAATGCAGGAGACCCAGGTTTGATTCCTGGATTGGGAAGATTCTCTGGAGAAGGAAATGGTAACCCACTCCATAATTCTTGCCTGGAGAATCACATGGACAGAGGAGCCTGGCAAGCTACAGTCCATGGGGTCGCAAGAGCTGGACACGACTTAAGCGATGAAACCATTACCACTACTTGCTACTGCACTCCTTCATGTCCCACTTACTGCTGTCTAGTATCTATTCTCACCACTCCAATAAAACTGCTCTAGTTAAGGCCACAGTCATTGTTTTGCCCTTACTTATTCAAACTTTTCAAAGCACTGAGGAAAACTGACCACTCCTTTCTTGAAATGCGCTCCTTACACTCTCCTGGTTTTGTTTCCGTTCTACTTCATGGACTCTCTTCGGTGGTTAACTTTTCAATCTCCTTAGGTTGTAATTGATTCTGACAGTTGGAGTATCTCTAACAGTTAGGTATTGGACTCTATTCTTTAAGACTAAATGGGTAGCTGAAGTCTCTGAATTTCTCCCTATGGTCCAGAGCTCTCCCCCACAAAGCTATCCAACAGGCTTCCCAACTTTACAGGTCCAACCCCCTGATTCTCTCATAAGCATATTTTTTCTCCCAGTCTTCTTTCCATCTGCTCTGACTTCTCTAAGCCTCACAAGTGGCAAAGCTGCGATGTTTGTTTTAACATCTAAACCTCTGTGCATGCCTTCATACTGTGCACTGCTATTACAGGTCCCCAACAAGGCTGCCTTCAGCCAGGTGTAAGTTCAAACAGTTCATCCACATTAACATATTTTTTGTATTTGAGTGCCAAATCTTTGGAAATCATAGAATCCTGTTTTGTGTTCACCAAAGTTTCCAAGTCTATTGTGGACAAAGTTATCAAACCAGGAAGAGATAGTAGAGACAATATGGGTTGGGTGGAGGCACAGCTAAAAGGAGAACCCCAGCCAGCTAGCGGGAACTGTCTACTCAGCATCCACCCGAGCAGGGTTTCTCAGCCTTGGCATTATTGCCACTGGGCACTGCATAATCCTTTGCTGCACGTTCTTTGTTGTACTCTGATTGTAGGATGTTTAGCAGCAACCCTACACTCTATTCACTATATGCCAGCAGTGCTCTTCTAGTTTTCACAGCCAAAATTGTTTCTGGACATTGCCAAATGACCCCTCGGAGGTAAAACTTTCCATGCACCATCCCCAACTGCACTAAACAGATGTACTTTATCCTCTAAAGGAAATATGGAAAGAAACAAACAAAGGATAAATAATACAATATATTTACAAACTTATGAGTTCAGAGACTTTTTAGAGCTATGTGTGTATGTGCTAAGTCGCCCCAGTCGTGTCTGACTCTTCAACTTTATGGACTGTAGCCCACCAGGGTCTTCTGTCCATTGGGGTATGGGGAAATAAAAGTATAAAAGAGTTTTAACAAACTGTGCAAATGGTGTAAGCCCAATTTTGTAGAAAAAAATTTACATAAGCATTAAAAACACTGGAAGACTTAAGAATAATAATTGTTATTTACTGAACTACCTATTTTCGATAAACTACTATTTTTTGATTAAAAAATAATTTCAAATATCAATCAAATGATTACAATTATATAAAAATATGCAAGAGATGAAAGTATATAAAATGCTAATAGTAACTATATTAGGGAGGTGGGAATAAGATGCAATTTCTAGTTCTCTTTTCCATATTACTATTAATGTAGTCATATTTTATAAGGGATAAAAGTTTATAATGAAAAGAAAGCAATAACAATCATCTATAATTTCACTACCTCCAGATAACACTGTTAGTTTTCAATAAATTCCTTTCTAATCTTTTTCTAAGATCAACACAATCACTTACAAACATTAATGTGAAGGAACCAAGGATGACACTAAGTTGGATAGGACAATTAAAAGTTGGATTCAGAACATGATCTTGAGGAAGGAAAGGAAATGAAACTAATATTATGGACTGTTTTGGGTCTGACACAACGAAAAAGCTCAACTTCTGGATTCTTGACCTGACTCTCCATGAACTGAACAGGACAACACTGGACAAGGTGCTTAGATTTTCTAAATCGTTTTAAAAAATATACATATCTATTTCCTATCTACCTCCCACAGCATTTCTTTGAAGCTAAAATGAGAAAGCATGTGTGTGTGTGTGTGTGTGTGTGTGTGTGTGTGTGTGTGAGAGAGAGAGAGAAAAAACACTTTGTAAACTCTAAATTCATATACAAAGGTAAGAATCTTAACTGTCCAAGCCAACAGTAAAAATGGTATGAAGGAAATTTAGTAGTCTTTTCCAAGCACCAAGGAAATAATATGACAAAAAACAACTTCTGTGTGACCATGTGAATCACTAATCTTGATTCAGATTTCTGTGCCTAATAAAGCTGCTGTAAAGGAGAGGTAACCTTCAGGTATGACCTACAGAGAAAAACTGTTTATGCCTTGAACAGTGCCAAGAGGATTCTCAGCAGGCAGAGAGTGGAGAACCAGTCGTCTGCATCAAGGGTGCAAACTGGATCTCTTACCTGCAGCTCTGCTTCCAGGCCCAGCCGTCTGATAAAGGGATCAGTGACATGGTACCGCCGCTCAAAACTCAGGGCACCCCGCTCCTGGGGGACAGAAACAAGCTCATAGGTTCACCGATTCAAATGTAACATGATTTACTATGTTCCTATTACACATAGAGCATTGTGCTGGGCTAGAGCTAGAAAAAGAGAACAAGAAACTGGCCTGCAGGAAATTATACTATACTTCGGCAGGGATTAGAGAATAGAAGCGAGTATGTAATTAAGCACTAAGTCATAATTGTTAGGCTCCAAAAAAGAAACCTGAAACAACAAATAGGGAATGTTTTCATATTTAGGTTAAAGAAGGTGGGCAACATCTTTAGGACACATATTGCAGGATATATACAAAGGAGAAAAACAACTTGCATGGTCCTCCAATTCTGTGACTCTGTGCCTCTAGGAATTAGTCCTGGCCCCTGAGGGCCACCCAGTCTAATGAAATGAAACCAAAAAAGCATCCTGACAAGTGGACAAAGCTGCAAAAGGATGCAGGGCAAAATACATGAAACACAGACTAATGTGCACCAAGTACTTAGCTCATGTAGAAGTATATACTCAGTCCTTCTAGATGGTGACCACACCTTATGCTGCATGCCACTTAATTTTTAAAAGATTTTTGGCACCTAACCTTTACAAAGAACTTTCTTGGGTTCTTTTAGATTTTATCCTCAAGATTAGCCTGCAGGCAGACAGACATTATTATTGTTTAACAGTAGAAAACCGCGGCACAGGGAGGTGAAATGACTGAAGTCATACAGGTAGTTAATTAGGGCAGTGAGATTATAAGCTCCTGACCCCAGCCTGGGGTTCTTATTTCAGAAGCACATCTTGTCTTGGTTGAATCTCCTCCATTAAACCCCTGTGTTTCTTTACTGAAGGCCTCCCTGACAAAGTCTGGGCTACAAAGCTAAATGAGTGTGACTGCCCAGTCACCTATTCATCTCATAGTACTAGAGTGTCTTCCATGTACAAACCACAGAGAAGAGGTGCAGGCTTTGGTACAGGAGACCCTCGACGAAAAGAAGAGCAAGCTTAAGCTAAAGTGAGATGAGGACTCTCCCAGGTTCAGCTGAGCAGCCACAGCAACATGAAGAAGCTCTACTTACTTACTTCTGCTGCACCCCCACCCTCAGAGATGTGCACACTCATGCTCCCCTCCTCACCAGACTCCATCAATCTCAGGAGCCCAGGTACAAGTGTTTGGACAGAGGAATCTCCATGCATTCCATGTTCTTGGATAAAAGAAGATCAGAGTCAAGAGACCTTGGCTCTAGTCCTGGGTTTGTCACTAATTAAATTATTTGTGCAACTTCGGGCAAGTCAGAGACTCTAGTCATCAGTTTACTCAGCTATAAAAGAAACCTGTGGGGAAAAAAGGACCTCATGTTCTGGATCATGGGCCTGGGTTGCTTACCTTTATCTGCCTACGGATGAGGTCTCTAGTTATGTTGACTTTTGCCATCTTCTCTTAATGGGTTCAACAGAAGGACGCTATAGAAGGATCTTCAGGACCCTTGAGCATTCCAGCCAAGCCCAGGTCCACAAGACACACATTTAATTACCTGGGGGGGGGGGGCGGAAAAAATCATCAAACCTTGGGGGATGGGAAAAGGTAGCTTTGGAGCCCTGATTCCACCCCTAAAATACCCCACCAGCCCACCCAGTAAACTGGCTATTGCCTGTGATTTATGACATGGTGCACTGGCCCTGCTCCATAGTGGTGAAGAACCTCTGGAGGGTCAAGGGGGCAGAGGAGAAACAGTGATTCAGAGCCACAGGGAATACTGGAACAAACACTGAAGGAGCACACACTAAAGGAGTGTGTGCTTCTCCAGAAAGTGTGTGTGTGTGTGTGTGTGTGTGTGTGACTATGAGTATGAAGGAAGATGGAAACACATCCTGAAAGGAAGAACAAGGCATACAGTGAGAAAGATGTCAAGTTTCACTTGCTCAGTATGCATCTGTGGCCACCAGTCTGTAGCTTTTAATTATGCTTCAAAATCCTTGACCTTCAGCTTAGCTTTCCCCTGAACCAAATCAGTATCACAGACAGAACATTCAACTTTCTGACAGATTCACCGAGTCAAAGAGTGGAGAGGAAATGTAATGGTGACCATGTCCAACTTTAAGAAAACCTTCTTCAGTATCCTGATAGGTAGATTTTCATACTCAGAACCTCTTGAAGCAAACTATTTCTTTGTTATACAACTCTAACAGAGAAACCATTTCTGATAATTTACCATTAAGAAAGCACAAAATATGGGAAATAAAAAAGTTCCAAACTGAAGCACACTCATCACAGAGTTTGGAAGAGCAAAATAAATAAATAAAGCCACTCAGGTTTCCAATGATAGAGGAACAGCTAAATAATGGATAGCCATATGATATAATGCAGCATTAGAAAGGTTACTTGTGAAAGAAGAATGCTTATATCACATTGCCTGTATTTTCTTTTGCAATAAACACTATCATCACAGCTATGTTTAAAAAAGGAAATGTAAAAAATAACAATTGCCATCTTTACATAGTGGTATGACTGAATCTTTCCTTCTACTTTTTGATGTTTTCAAATTTTTTCTATACAAGCACATTAATTTTACAATCAGAAAAAAAAAAAAAACCAGCTAGAGAAAATAATCCCACGAAATTTTAAAAGAAAGTTCTGCCTCTTGTTATGCCCACTTTTTGGTCCTGTTTCTACCTCTGGAGTCACACAGGAGGTCCAGTCTTTCTTCTCCATGATGGCCTTATGACAATGGCTTGGGGACCCATCAGGCCTCTCTGCCAACACTCCTGAGTCAGCAGGACCCCCTGAAGCCACTTCTGGATCTTCTGGCCCGGGCTTTCCTCCTGCTGGCCTCCTGCAGATCCCTTGTACACCCTCCTAAAACCAAACATTCCCCACCTGAGCTGTGAGCAGACTCCTTCCCTTCCTTTTGGCATTTAACCACAAAAGGAGACTCCTTTTATAAACACTATGTTATTGGAGATAGCTTTTTTCCCCTTTAGTACTAGGCACACAGTAGGACAATAAAAAAAACTTGCTGCCTGATTAGATGTTCCCATTCAGCTTGAATTCTTTGGGGTTTATGTCTCCATGATCTATTTTGGGATTACAAGCTCTTAAAAGGGTAAGAACCTTCCCTTAGAATGTGGAAGCCAAACAGCACTGCATCTCAGTAAGCACTACCCGGGATATACGGAAGTCATGGGCACTACCGAGGATCACAAGACCTACAAGCACCAAGAACATCCAGGGATGCTATTTAAGAACTACAATTCTGGGATGGCTTTTCCAGGGGCCCTTGGCTATCAAATTAAAATTATGAATTTGAACAAACTGACATGAATTAAGCACTGGCCTGCAATTGTGTTTATGGCTCTGATTTGTATTATAACAGTCAAAGCCAAAATATTAACAGTAATTGCCCCCACAATCACCAAGAATATGTGATGGGGCTTATCACAATGGAAAACACCAAAGTCAGTGAGTATATCTGATATAAAGTAAGACCAGCCATGTGTCCTTGGTCAAGTCTCTTAATCTAAGTAGGCATTCATTCCTGTGACTCACAGGCACAGGAAGCATTGAAACAAACACGAAAGGGGCCACGCATGCTTCACCAGAAGAAGGCTCACTTTTTCCTCCCAACACCCTTTTCCTTAGAAGGTTACTGGGAAGGTCAAATAGAATAATGTAAGTATAAAGCCTTTTCCCTAATTTTATTTTGAAAGGAACATAAATACGTGTATCTGCTAAGAAATAGTAAGTTGCCAAATATTATGTACTTACTATGTTTCAAAAATTGTGCTAAGTGCTTTATATTTATTCATCCATTCATTTATTCACTCAACAAGTGAGCACAAGAAGCTTCTACTATATGCCAGGTACTATTCCAGGCCTAGGAGACATAGCAGTGAACAAAACAGATAAATTCCTTATTTTCAGGGTACCTATATTCCAGCAAGAGGGGATAGATAACAAATAATTATACAAATAAGACTATATCCAATAGTGAAAAGTGCTATGATGAAAATAAAACAAGCTGACCAGAGAGTGACTGATGAGCTACTTTTAGACTTGAGGTTAAAAAAGATATGGTGCATTTTGGAGTTGTCTGGCTGCTCAGCATGTGAACTTCCTTCCTGTATTTTGGGAATTTCCCATCTGATGAGGCTGGTGGGAAGTGGAGAGCCCTCTCACTATGAAGTGAGAATGGTGGAGACAAGATTCTCTTTCTAGGCTCTCCTACACCTAGTGTGTGTGCGTATGGCCCAGGCTACGTCAGTAGACACATGAGCCCCAGACCTTAATTGAGATCTGCTGTCACAGAATCAGAGGATCATGGGGAGTCCATGCCGGCAGGAAGCGGTGCTACAGTTGCTGTTAAGGTCCAGTCAGCTGGTGGTGGTGTAAGCTATGCAATGGCGGCAGTGACTTCATGGACTGGATCTGTGAATTATTTTGGCTGTGGGTCCTGGCTGCTAACTAATTCCCTTGTTCCAGTCCATTCTTCAAGCCTGGCTTTGTGGCCCTCCTTGATATTTTGTTGAGTTTCCTTAATATCCTTTCAAGAATCAGCTAGAATTGGTTTCTGTTGCTGACAACTACAAATCCAGTCTGATATAGAGGAGTTCTCTGAGATGACAACATTTAAGCTGAAATGTGAATGGCAAGAAGTCACAAAGATCTAGGGGGATACAAATGAGAAGGGAGACAACCAGTGCTAACATCAGCTCAAAAGCTTGTATGGTAGATGCTGCTCCTATCGTCACTGTCCTATCATCACACAAGGAGACACAGTCATAGATATGAAACAACTCCCACAACGTCACATAGCTGATAAACTGGAGCTGGAGCAGGGACCCAAACCTAAAACTGTATGTACACTCTTAACCACTATGTATACATAAATAAATTACTACGGTATGCAGTTTCCTAGAGTAATGATCACTACAAGAATCCCCAAAGTGAAAGTTGCTCAGCCGTGCCCGACTCTTTGCGACCCCATGGACTATACAGTCCATGGAATTCTCCAGACCAAAATACTGGAGTGGGAAGCCTTTCCCTTCTCCAGAGGATCTTCCCAACCCAGGGATCAAACCCAGGTCTCCTGCACTGCAGGCAGATTCTTTACCAGCTGAGCCACAAGGGAAGCCCAAGAATATTGGAGTGGACATCCTGTCCCTTCTCCAGCAGATCTTTCCAGTCCAGGAATAGAACTGGAGTCTCCTGCACTACAGGCAGATTCTTTACCAACTGAGCTATCAGGGAATCCCCAAAAGAGCCAAATAAATTGTCATTATTCATCCACTAATGTTCTTAAAACATAAACTGAATTTTTACCAGGCACCAAGCACTGTGCTAGTCATGAGGGAATACTGAAGATGAAAAGATACAGTACCTATGCTGAGAAACAAAGAACCAAAGGCAAGGGACTTTGGGGAATTCCCTGGTGGTCCAGCAGTTAGGACTCAAGTGTTTTCACTGCCAAGGGCGTGTGTTCAGTCTCTGGTGGGGGAACTAAAATCCCACAAGCCACAAGGAGCTCTAGCTAATATTGGTGTGTGGCTTGGAAATACTAAAAGGAACAAGAAGGGTAAAAGCAGAGAAACTAGGCAAGCAAAAATCACTGCTATTCAGGTAAATTGTAAAATGGAAACTGGGATTTAAAACAGTATCAGACTGGTAGGCAGAGGTTTAAGACCCCAAATGTCAAATTTAACACAACTGCTGCTCAGGTGGTATTTTGGTAAACAGCTCCATCCCCATCCTGAGAAGAAATGATAGCACACTGGCAGACAGCTCGTTCTGTAACACAGCCCACCCTCTCCTCTCTAAGGAAACAGTGCCTTTTCATAAACTTTTAGAGGCAGACAAGCATAACTGGAAATGCTTCTAGGTAGAGATCATTTAAAAGGCTCACCTCAGGAGAGAAATACACTCAAATGTACAGAGGGTATAACTAGTTTCATACTTCTCAAATACAAATAATCAGAGCAATAAATAAAAGTTATATGAATACAAGATTCAATCACGGTCAAATTTTAAAAGCATTATTTTAAGGAATGTTCAGAAATAGTCGATTCTACAGAGTAAAGAACTTATAGACATGATATGAATGAAATATTGAAATTGGCAAAAGGAAGTTACCTCTGTGTGTGTGTGTGTGTGTATGATTAAACACTAGAAAAGTGTTTAATTCAAGAGAACTTCTATCTCTGGTGCAGTATGCGAACTACATAATGTTCAGTTCTGTTGAGGGGTAAAAAGACCAAACTAAGTGACTGCAAGAATCTATAAAGTAACAACTTCAGTGTCTACTCTGCCAGGTACAGTGCTACACTAAGAGCACACAATGTAGTCAAAGTTACTTGAGTATCAAAGGCACCCAGGCCATAATCAGAGCTCCAAAGAGAGACTGAAGAAGGCTAACTTTAACTTAGTCAAATGGTCAAAAT